GGGGGCCCACCCTCCGGGAGCCAGCAGGCAGGAAGCTAGCCAGCCAGAAGGCTGGCGCTCCCCACCCGCAGCTCCCTTTCTTTTGGTTTTTGAGACAGGGTCTTGCTATGTAGCCCAGACCAGCCTTGAACTCTCAGGAATCCTCCTGCCTCAGCCTCCTGAATGCTAGGATTACAGTTGTGTGCCACCATGCCAGGCGATTGTTGTTTTTTAAAGATGTAGAGACCCATGGCCTATTCTGTTGATAGGAATGATGACAGTGTGGCAGGGTATGTGGTTTAATTTTCTTTTGTGTAATTTCAGATATGAGCTTCCGGCCCCTTCCTCAGGCCAGAAGAATGACATTACTGCATGGCAAGAATGTGTAAACAATTCTATGGCCCAGTTAGAGCATCAAGCAGTTCGAATTGAGAATCTGGAACTCATGTCACAGCATGGATGTAATGCCTGGAAAGTATATAACGAGTAAGAAGCCTCATTCCCTTTCTCCTTCTCTCCCTTCTGTCCCAACCAAGGGTTTATTTTTTAAAATTATAGTAGGCACAGTATTGGAAATGGCATAAAAATAATATTGCTAGATTTGATTGAGGATCATGTCTGAGCGCTGTAGTCAGATGAACAGCCACTGCTTACAGACCTACTGCAAAGTTCAAGAGTGCTAAGGGGACCTGCCCTAACGGCAGTATTAACTCTGGGATAATATTGTAAGAAAATGAGCATTTTGGTTTTTGTTTTGTTTTGTTGTTTTTGTTATTGTCTAGACAGAGTCTCGCTATGTAGTTCAGGCTGCCTTGAACTCACTGTGTATCCTAGCCTGCCCTCAAACTTGCAGTGGGCCTTCTGCCTCAGCCTCCCGATGTTGGAATTATAGGTGTGCGCCAACACCACTCTCTTGACTGTTTTATGTAACAACAATATAAAATAAGAGCACAAAGTGGTAGGTGTCGTTTTTTTCAAATCTTCAAAATTATGTTTTAAATCTGTATGGTTATATAATGATTCAGTGAGCAACATCCAGAATTGGGAAATTATAAGCTAAACAAGTTTATTTTTGTAATGTATTCTAAGAGGAAGGAAGGAAGAATAGAATCAGGATGATTAAGAGATGTAAGAAACAAATAATGAAGAAAATTATGTTTCACGAACCGGGGTGAAGGGTGAGGATTGGATGTTTGGAGGAGGGCATTCCAAGGGTGGAGGACATAAATGCAGGGGGGTGGGGGGAGACCATTAGGCTGAGGAGAGCTTTGCTTTCCAGTTTGCTTTCTTGTCTTTCCCGATTGAAATTCTGCCTGCAGTACTCTGTTGTCCCAGTAACTGAACTGCCGTGCACGTCACATAGTGCCTGACTGCAGAACATCTTCGGTGTACTTCTCCAAGCCCCGGGGGTGCTTCTCTGGAAGCGCCGTACTATATTTTATCCGAGTGAATTGAAGCAGGAGGATGGAACAGAGAAGGCAATAAGCTAAGCCTTCAGGGAAAGTCAGTTTAGAGGAAAGGAAAGTTTCTTTTTATGTTTTAAATCCTTACTGCTAAGGGCCAGGAATCCTAATGGTCAGAGGCCAGGAATAGAGCACTAAAAGTGGTAGTCTCAACTTAAAGTGATTGTTGAAGCTACAGAAGGGCAGAGGGGCTGAGGGCTGGAAGGGCATACTCACATCAGGTATTTTCCATCTTCTGAATTAAAAGAAGTCAAGACAAGCTGGTGGGGAAGCATAGTGGCACACGCCTGTAATCCCAGCACTGGGGAGGCTGAGGCAAGAGGATCACTGTGCGTTTGAGGCCAGCCTGAACTACACAGCAAGACCTTGTCTCCAAAAAACAAACAAAAAGTCATAGAATACCTAACATAATTGGCACAAAGAGCTCAACATTTACTATTTTCAGCAAAAAAACTTGACTTTGTATGAACTCGGTAGTTAACATTTAGTTGATGTTACTGGGTTTTAATGTATATTAATCTGATTTTCCTCTTTTCCTTGTTTAGAAATCTGGTACACATGATTGAACATGCACAGAAAGAGCTTCAGAAGTTAAGGTAAACTGTTTTGTTTTTTTTGTTTTTTACCTATTTTAGAACACCTGGCACTGAATTTGCCCTGTCAGAATACAGGAAAAATAGCAGGCATTTACAACTTGCATTCTGCAGACATGGAAAACTCACTTTTAAGAGAGGGGTGGGGGGACATTGCAGAATAACGTGTACGTATAACCTGATTTATATAGAAAAACCAGTGTCTGCATACGCATGCATATGGGAACAGATCTGGGAGGACGCCCACTTGTCTTACTTCATTTTGTTTTGCTCGTAAGATAATACCACAGCCCAGCTGAGTGTTACAGAAAAGAGGTGTATTTTGGCCAGTAGATCTGGAGCTCCCAGGTTGAGGGGCTGCGTCTGGTGACAACGTCTAGTTCCAGCGTGGTGCAGGGCCGCACATGGCAAGAGTCAGGGAGCTGCACATCTGCACATGTGTGTTCTGGTCTTTCTTGACCTTTTTTTTTTTTTTTGGTACTGGGAATCGAACTCATGACCTCACACTTGCCAGGCAGGTGCTGTGCTGCTGAGCTATATCCCCAGCCCTTGGTCTTCCTTTGTGATTAGAAACCACCAGTAATTGACCTTGTCTAAACCTAATCCCTTCTGAAATGCCCACCCGTGTCTGGTATAGTTGGAATAATTTTTCACCCTCCTAATACCTCACAGTGGGGATTAAACTCCCACATGAGTTTTGGAGGGGAAGAGCCACGTTCAAAGCATAATGCCCTCCAGAAACAACATCATTTAGCAGGAAGGAGAAGTGTGTGAGAAGAGAAAGTTTTGATTTGTCATCTACGTGCATGTTTGGATGTGAGTTTTCTAAATTGTTTTGTTTGGTTGCACTGGGGAATGAACCCAGGGCCTCGTGCATGTTAGGCAAGCACTCTTCCACTGAGTCATATCCTCCCTTTTCGAAATTTCATCTTGAGACAGGATCTCACTAAGTTGCCCAGACTGTCCCTGAATTCGCAGTCCTCCTCTCTCAGCCTCCTGATTAGCGAGGATTACAGGTGTGCAGCACTGTGCCCAGGTTGAGTGTTTTTTTGTTTTTCACAACGAGCACATTTTCTGAAATTTGTAATTGAAAAAATAATTAGAAGAAAGTTAATTGCTATAATTAGTCTCTAATTGTGTATATAGCTGTTCTAAGGAGGTTAAAGGTACTACTGGTATTGGTTATTATTTTTTTTGTTGATTTTAGTCTTGTGTTAAAATGTAGCTGGGTTGTATAAACATCTTTTTATAGGAAACATATTCAGGATTTAAACTGGCAGCGGAAGAACATGCAACTCACAGCTGGATCTAAACTGAGAGAAATGGAGTCAAAGTGAGTATAAATTCTATCATATTTTAAACTGCTTATCCTACTAGAAAATCAGAATTTGATAAAATTCAAACAGTATTCAAATGGGATGCCACAGGTGTCAAAGAACTGCTTTCTTTTCTTTTTATTTTTTTCTCTTGAGTTACTGAGAAATGAACCCAGGGCCTTCACACTGAGCTACATTCCCAGTGCCACCCCCCTCACCCCCTTTTGAGAGAGGATCTCACTGAGTAGCAGAGTTGCCCAGGATGTGTTCGGGCTTGTGACCCTCCTGCCTCAGCCTTCCAGAGTACTGGAAGTACAGCCTTCCAGGATTGTAGTCTTTCATCACCAAGCCTGACTTTAAACTGCTGTCTTCTGAATCTGCCTCTTTCTGAAAGGTAGATATAGAAAGCAATTAGAGAGTTACAAATAAGAATTGAAGCTGGGAAGGGGCTGGGGATTTAGCTCAGCGGCAAAAGCGCCTGCCTGGCAAGTGCAAGGTAGTGAGTTCGGTTCCCGGTACCGGAGAAAAAAACCAAAAAAAAAACTGAATTGAAGCTGGGAGTGGTGGTACACATCTGTGCTCCCATCCCTTGGGTGGCTGAGGCAAGAGGGTTGCCTTGAATTTGGGCCAGCCTTGGCTATATTGAATTCAAAGCCAATCTGAAATACATAGCAAAATTCTGAGTTTTGTTTTGTTTTGTTTTGTTTTGTTTTGTTTTTGAGACAGGGTCTTGCCATGTGGTTCAGGCTGGCCTTGAACTCACAGTGATCCTTCTGCTTCAGCCTCCTGAGTGCTGGGATTACAGGTGTGCACCACCATGCCCGACTCATAGCAAAATTCTGTCGCAAAAAAAGGAAAAGAAAAAAGAATTGAACCACTGCTAAGTGATCTTGGTCTCAGGGCACCCCTCTTTTTAGTCAAGCTTTGTAGCTCTTAGTAGGAGCCCAGGCTTTTTGGTTTTGGTTTGGTTTGGTTTGGTTTGGGTTGGGTTGGGTTTTTTATTGTCGTTAGTAGGAATTGAACCAGCGCCTCACACAAGGTAAGCAGATGCTGAGCTAGATCCCCAGCCCTCTTGTTTGCTTTCTTTTTCTACTTCTTGTGGTGGTACTGGGAGTTAAACCAAGGGCCTCAAGCGTGCATGCTAGGCAAGCACTTTGCCACTGAGCTACATCATCAGACCTTTTATTTCTGATTTTGAGACAGGTTCTCACTGAGTTGCCTCAGAATGGCCAGGAACCTGTAGCCCTCTTGGCTCAGCCTCCTGGTTAGCTGGGATTACAGGCATGCACCACTGCACCCATTGCCAGCCCTATTTTTAAAAGGAAAGAGATTCATCCTTTTTTGTAGGAACAGAAATTCCATGTTTTATTTGATAACTTATGACTTAGGTTTTTCCCCTTTGTTTACACATTTTACTGTTTAAATCTTCTGTATGTACATGATCAACGCAAAGGCCTAAGTATGTGATAGTGACATTTTGTGTCATTTCTCTTCTGTCTGCTACTTTTCCTTCCCTTCCTTCATCACCCATCATTCTGTGCATGCCTCCTCTCCGCTCCCTTTCCCTGTGTTGTTCATCTCTTAGGCATCATTTCACGTCTTTCTTCACACTGAGAATTGTTTACTTTTTAGTCTGTCTTGAGATTCTTCCCCGTTTTTTTGTAACTATGTCCTTGGCCTTGTTTTTTCTCTTCTCTTAATACTCCCTTTCCTGTCTCTTCTGTCTTAGAGATTCCCTCTTCTGATGTTTCTACTTATTTTTAATTAAACTTCTTATTTGGAGACAACTGTAGATTCACAGGCAGTTATCAGAAATAATACAGAGATGGGGCCAGGGATATAGCTCAGTAGCACAGTACCTGCCTGGCAAGTGCAAGGTCCTGAGTTCAATTCTCAGTACCAAAAAATAATAATAATAATAGAGAGATCCTGTACCCTTCACCTACTTTCCCATAGTTGTGCCTAAGGTTTTTTGTTTGAATGTTTTGTTTGTTTGGTTTTTTGAGGCAGGGTCTTGCTTTGTAGTGCAGGTTGGCCTTGAATGCACTGTGTAGCCCATAGTGGCCTCAAACTGGTAGCACTCCTCCTGCCTTAGCCGACTGAGTTGTGGGGTTACAGGCGTGCACCACCATCCCTGGATGTGCCTGAGATTTAAAAATGGAAAGTTAAAGCTATTATGGCATTGAGTAAAGCCATATATACATTTAAAATAAAATCTTATAAGAGAAATTTTACATTGATTAATTTTTTCCTTCCTTTTGTAGTTGGGTATCCCTGGTCAGTAAGAATTACGAGATTGAACGGACTATTGTGCAGCTAGAAAATGAAATCTACCAAATTAAGCAGCAACAGGGAGAGGCAAACAAAGAAAACATCCGGCAGGACTTCTGAAAAGACGAACTTGCTGGGTAGAAAGGAGGAAAAGTTGGGCTCTTACAAACACCGGCCATCTAAACTTTCCCTGAACCACGAAGGACAGCAGCCTCTCACAGACCATTAGTGGGTAAATGTTTAGAAATCATAATGTATAGATTCTTACATTAACTGTATCTGTGTATCTTTGTGAAATAAAGATTATCAACTTGGTGATATTTTTATAGCTATAAAAAACCATCAGGCTGTCAAAATAAGTATGACTTTGGAATAATATTGTGTTACAGAATTAATACATACATTATATAGAGAGTTAATTTTGAGCTACTGGACCATATTTGGTAGCTGAGTGGATATGTTGGCCACAGCCAGCGAGGCCTAGGGTTGGAGCTGCCCACACCCTTTAGAGCTTGCATCACACCACCAGGTTGCTCAGGTGCTGGATGTGCGGCTATAAAAATTGTTTGCCCTGATGAATTTAAGTCTTGTTTGCTTCAGTCCTTCGTGTACTCCAGGTCTTCCCTTTTGGAAGGAATTGTGTATCCTGTGCAATCATTATTGTTTTTGGTATTTGTTTTAGTTTAGATACAGGATCTTCCTCACTTGCCAGGCGAGGCTGGAGCTGACAGTTGTGCTACCTCAGCTTCCTGAGTAGCTGGGATTAAAGGTGTGTTCCACCATGCTGGCTTATTTACTTTTTGTTCATTTGTGTTCCTGCTCCATGGGAGGATTCTTTCCACTACTGTCCAGTCCAGTTTGCGGCTTCCTCTGCTCAGCCCAAGGCATATCTCCTCCAGCTCTTCCCTGACTCTGGAGATTGGACTTCAGAAATCTCTGCCTTTTGCCAAGCCCTGGTTCTCCAGTGAGATTCCTTCAAAGTCCTCTTCACTCTGTTGGATTGCCTGGGACCTCTAGTAAAATGTAGTGACTTTGCAAAGTTTGCTTATTCCCTGGGTGTAGGTGAGTTTGGTGTGTTAGGTTCAGGCTTTCCATAGAAAGCAGCTCTGGTAAATGACAAATTAGTAAGCCAGATAGTTCTGATTGTTTAGACTGAACATAGTTGTAAGTTTGTCCCATTGATCAAAACATGACCTCTTGTATTTGTAAATAACTGCAGTACATTATGTTTGACAGTGGACCCGGCAGATTTATGTAACATTGGATGGAAGTGCTTTCCCTTTTTCTTCCACGCGTTCCCCTTTCTTTTCTCCTTTATGCTCCAGGCATCCATTGTTGTTGTTTTAATACCCTTCCTCCTCTCTTTCTAATGATTTAGTCCTAAAGTCCTGTGGTGCAGAGCAGAGCAGATACCCACATGCAAGCTTCCAGAAAGTGGGGGGCCTTTCCCGTAAAGGATCCCAAATCAGTATCCTTGGGCTTCTCAACAGCAACTCCAAAAGCTAGAATGAAGACAATGGAGAGGTCCATCAGAATTCTTAAGAAAATTTGTTTCCAACCTGGGACTACATAGTCAAGTCATCAGTTGAATGTGAGGGTAGAATAAAGGTATGTTCAGCCATGTGAGATCTCAAAATCATTACCTTCCTGAGTATTGTCTCAGAGGAACTGCTGCAGGATGGGTTCAAGGGGAAGTAATAGTTTTTCCATGCAGATCAGTGAAAGAGAACCTCAGGATTGTATCACTGTGTGTACTCCATGGAAGGCAACCAGTTCAGACCGGAGCAGTGTGACTCATGAGGGCTGCCCTCGAAGATGACCACTGCCGCTGCACCATCTTCACACTGATTAACAGTGCCCAGAGAGCCTGGCCCGTGCGCTCTGATCTATGCTTGGTTTGCTCTAATGGCTTGAGATAGCCCCATGATCTGGAGTGTGCTATGGCCTGTTCTTGGAGAGCTTTTAGTAGGAAACTCACAGGAGTTGGTCTCTGACCTTAATTCCTGCCAGATATGCAATATTTAGCTGACATTCCAGCCTTGCCAGAAACCTGACCAGTGCTAAGGCCCTCAATTCCCAGCATGCAGTCATAGCTTTGCTCCCTAACTTCCCCAAAGTAGGCTCTGTAGCTGTCAGGGGACTTGAGGACAGACTATGATCTCTTTGTTCAGCTTGTTGCCCCCGACCTTCATCCACCCAGAAAAAATGTCTTTTCTGTGTAGCTAAGCTATGCTTGCTTCACAGTTTTTATAATAATTATGTGTCACATTCATTTTAATGTAGATATGGTAGGCTGAGTAACAGCCCTTAAAGGTGGCTGGATACTTAGAACCTGTGAGTGGGTTACTTTTTCCATGGCCAAAAGGAGTTTATAGATGCTATTAAATGAATGTTCCTGGAGGCTGGGGATATAGTGCAGCAGCACAAGCACTTGCTTGGCAAGCGCAAGGTCCCAAGTTCGATTCCTGGTACCAAAAATAAATAAATGAGTGAGTGCTCTGTAGAAGGGAGATTACCCTGGATTATCTGGTTGGGCCCCATATAATGGCCAGCATCTTTATGAAAGGGAGGTGGAAGGTCAGAGGGAGGGCAGTGCTAGTGTGCTTCCTTTGTAAATGAGCGCTGTGAACCAAGGAGTGCAGTGACTTCTAGAAACTGGAAAAAAAATAAGAAAACAAATCTGGAGTGTTCTTCCCTACAAGAAAGCTTTGCAGGCTTGTGACTTCAGGACTATAAAGCAGTACATTTTTTTGCATTAAGCTTCTTCATTTGTGATACTTTGCTACAGCACCAACAGAAAACTAATGCAATAACTTGTAAGTCATGATGTTTAATTAAAACAGTACAAAATCTGCATTTGTTAGGGGCAACTCAGAAAACGCAGGCAAAAAGAAAATTATTCATGAACTGACTACTAGAAGATAGCCACTATCTATCAGAAGGCACTTTTTTGTTCGCAGTATTGAGGAGTGAACCCAAGGCCATCACACTGAGCTACACCCCCTTTTTTGTTTTTTATCTTGAGGCAGTCTTGCTGAGTCCTGGCTAGGCTCAAACTTTTGATCCTCCTGCCTCCGCCTGCCAGAGTGCTGAGATAACATGCATGTGCCATCATACTCATCTCAGAAGGTACTGTTTTTATTTGATGACAGAATATATATTTGCAGATAGAAACCCTGTATTTTATTTAATTCCAGTACAAATTTGTTAGATACCATGGAATCAAAAATAAATAAGATGGGAGGGATAGCCTTACTTGCCTAGCACACTTGAGGCCCTGGGTTCCATACCCAGCACTGAAAGAAAAAGTAAGATGAGCTAATGGAACATTGTGTAAACCTAGTTGTGAATGGAAGCTTATGCATCTGCTTCACCCTGCTTTCTACTCACAGGACCAGCACTTACTACTTTGGATCCTCTTTGCTTTCTCCATCCTTAGGATGTATAGCTGCATATGCAAACTTACTTATAGTGATAGAAAGCTAACTACAACTACCTTATGCAATGACAGGAGATTCATTGGTTCATTTAACTGGTGAGAGCAGAGGTAAAACTAGTTAAGAGTAAACTAGATTCAGGGGTTTAATGTTACCTCGTTTTCTATCTCCCTTTTCTTTATCCTTTTCTGGATTTATTGTTCCCTCCCACCTATAGGCTTCCTCTACACAATACAAGTCAAAGTCACAGGCAATTCCAGACTTAAATCAGCCCAGTGATCTTAGAGGAAGGCAAGGATATCATATATATAATTAGAGAATTGTTCTCATTGATCTAGTCTGGATCCCATGTTCCATCCTTAGGTTCAGAGGTAAAGCCAGGGCTTCGGGATGCTGTGATTGGCCAGACCTGAGTCAGGTGTCTACCTGTGGTCTTAGGGATAGAGCACTGCAATTGGCAGACTGGATTGGGGTACCGTTTCTCCAGAGTAAGGTGGGAACAGTGCTTCTACTAGGAGAGAAGTTGAGCGGGTGAAGATAATGTGTCTGCATGTCTGTTATCCCTGGTCCTTCCTGGGTAAGGGAGAGCTCTTCCTGGGGGCATAGCTCAGTGACAGAGTGCTTGCCTAGGTTTGATCCCCAACAGAGAGCGAACAGAGACAGCACTTAGCTAGCCCATGTGACAAGTAGTTTATCCGCCTGTTCCCTGTGCTTTGTTTGTTTTACAGAAAATATAATAGACATTGATTATGGTATAACTTAGTATATAAAAGTCAGTAGCTCTTTGTCATCATGAATAGTTCACAGACATGGGTTAAGTAGTACTTTATTAATAGGAAGTTAAAATACGTGGTTTGGGGGAATATTTGTTTTGTTTGGGGTTTCCTTGGTTTGTGTGGGTTTTTGTTTTCTTTTTTGCAGTGCTAGGATCAGACCCAGCACCTCATGCATGCTAGCTAGGTGAGCACTGTATCACTGAGCTACACCCCCGGGCCAATCTGTAGTTTCTAATAAATTTCCGTTCTTTTCTTTCAGTAATGGAGATTGAACCCAGAGTCTCTGCACTGAGCTGCATCCCTAGGTCATTTCTTAATTTTGAGACAGGTCTTGAAAAGTTGCTAAGTTACCCAGGCTGGGCTCATACTTGCAATCTTCTCACCTCAGCCTCCTGTAGTGCTGGGACTAGAGTGTGTGCCACCGTGCCCAGCTAATAACTTTTAAGAAAATATACAAGGTGAAGGTTATGTGTATAATGTTCATCTCACGTGGTTATATTCTTACATGTTTTCAGAGGTAAGGGCCAAACCCAGAGCTTACATTCTCAATGCCTAATTGTAGCAGGGACTGCTTGTCCCTCTGATATCGATCATCTCCTTCTGTAGTAGTAGAAGTTTTAGCTATGCACATGGGTGCTCAGCTAGGAGCTGATTTCCTAGTTTCCTAGGCAGCCACTTAATGGAATATGATTAGGCTGTGTGCTGAGGTAGGAGCTGATGTAGGTATATGCAACTTGTAGGTATGTGCTCAGTTTCCACATTTTACCAACCAGGATCTTATACCTATACAGTGATGCCTTACCCCCACCACCAGAAGAAAGGGTATAAGCAAGAAAAAGGCAGAATACTGTATGAGTAGTGATGAGAATGATATGCTTGTATTTATTTTACTTTAATGATTAAATTGTCTATACCTAGTAGTAAATCTCCATTTTGGTGAAGTTTGAATGCAATTCAAATTCATTGAAATGAGATTTTATAGTAAGAGCCATTTATTTAGCTTTTTTGTTTTGAGACAGGTTCTTGCTGTGTATTCCTCGCTAGCCTCAAACTCATGATCCTCCGGTATCAGCCTCCAAATTGCTGGGATCTCTGGCATGCACCACTACACTGAGTGTGAGAAAGTATTTTATTAAGAGATGAAGTCTCACCATGTTGCCCAGGCTGTCCTAAAACTCCTATGTTCAAGTGATCCTTCTGCCTCAGCCTCCTGAGTAGCTGGGACTATAGGTATATGCCACCATACTTGGCTTATAGCAATGTTTTAAGTTACCCACAGTTACACTTACTTTCCCAAAACTGATATTCTACTACCATAAAAAAATTTATTACCAAAGAATGTCTAGTTAGCTGAAAAGAACAAAGAGAAGTAACTAGTAATATTAATTTTCATACAATTTGCTATAGATAGAAATGCTTTAAAGGGAGTCAACATTTTGTTATAACCAAATTGTATTCCTGTGAATGCATAATCTCACTCTGTAGAACCTAGAAGTAAAATGAAAGTCACTGTAAATGTCCCACTGTACTTCATTATGTGAAAAAAATTGTTTTAAATATAATAGAAGT